AGAATCAATAGGATACATACGCATATTTTATAGAGAGGGGGTGGGTTTTGTTTTGCCTTTTAATTGCTTTATTAAATTTTACCTTTTTTCATGCAAACAGGTAAAACTGTTGTTGACAGAAATCAAGACTGGGTGCAAAAGCAATCTGTAATTAAAAGCTGGCAACATAAGACCGACCTACCCAACACGAGAGAATTTAGATAGGTTCATGGCAGGAGGATCAGTAAAGCAGCTCAGGCAAATGAGGGAAAGGAAGATATTTTTAATTGCATGGGATGTGGAGGCAGGACACCCAATGGGCATGGGGCTTGGGGAGCAGTTCCTCAACTGCATCTCCCTAAATTTTCTCTCATCTACCAGGAACATTCCCCATCTTCATCTCCACCCATGCCATTATTCTTGCTGACTGAGTGTGGCCTGTCAAAAATGTGGGGTAAGTTTGTGAACTTGACTCTGTTCTTTGTTGCAAGTGGTGTTCACCTCCTCCTGGAGGACAGCCTTTCTCCTTTTTGCAGGGGCTGTCGCTGTTGTGTTTTTTCCCAGGCCAGGTTTTACAGCCCCCTTCTCCCTGTGATTCTTGCAGCAGCACAGTGACACTTAGCTTCTGGTACCTGCTCCATTTTCTCTCTGTGCTGCATGGGGAGCTGGTAATGGCTACCCTAGAGAAATTTCCTTTAAGGAATTGACTCATGTGGCTGTGGAGGTTGCCAAGTCCAGAATGCAGAGTCCCCGGAAAGAGCCTCTGCTGGAACAAGGGCTGCAAGGGCCTTGTGCTTGCAGACCTGCCTTCTTGCTGTGGGGTTTGGGGGGGTGGAGGGGAGGGAAGGGTGGTCTTGGTTCTGCAAAAACCTTTAACTGATTGGATGAGGACCATTTACAGTTTGGAAAGTAATGTGGTTTTTTTTTTTTTTTTTAAGTGTGTGTGTGTGTGTATAAATGGTGCTGGCTTTTGTTTAGGGACTTTACCATTTCAGTCACACCGATTTTAGCTTTCTGGTAGTTAACTGTAAATACCAGTCTCATGGGCTTTTCTGCCTGGGGTGGTTCTGAACCTTAATTCTCAGATCTCAGCCTTCTGAGTAGTTAGAATTACAGGTGTGAGCTGCCAGCACCTGGTGGTAATCTGTTGTAATCACAATTCACCTATTTAAATGTTAATTTCATTAAAAAACAACAAACACCTTTCATAGAAACAGAGTAATGGCTAACCAAATAAGTACCTGGGCACTGTGGCCCAGACAAGTTGACACAGTTCCAGAGGGGTCTGAAGCCATTGCTGAAACGTATGTGTGTACTGTGTCCTGCTTCGTTTGTAAAAATAACAAAAATTTAAAAAAAGGCACTGGGTTTGAATTAGGGCCTTATGCTGGGTAAGGAGGCACTCTACCATTTGAGTCATACCTTCAGCTCTCAAGGAAATTTATTAACCAAACTTAAACCTTTGCATACTGGGAAATGGGGTAGAAAAATCAATGAATCCTTTCTTCCCTGCCTCCATCCTTCCCACTGGGCTTTGAACTCAGGGCTTGTGCTTGCCAGACAGATACTACCCTACTTGAGCCACTCCCACTGTTTCTGCTTTAGTTATTTCTTGGAAAGGGTCTAGAATTTTCTCCCTGGGGTCTGCCTCAATCACACCTCTATCCTTCGATGACACCAGCTTGTTAGTTGAGATGGAATCATGAACTTTTTTGTCCTGGCTAGTCTCAAACCATGATCTCTCAAACCTGATCTCTGCCACCTGAGTAGGTCACCCCCTACCCCCAAATCAGTGAGGTCTAAAAATAAATTACAAAGCTTAGTCAACAGCTAATTTTTTTATTAAACTATGTTCTCATGCAGTGTCTTCTAACTATGACAACCACTAAAAGTAAACATCATAGTTTAGAACTAACATCTTCAAATTACTATCATTAAGTGTGTTAAAGGCAAAATCACAACAAATTAGTGATAGATCTAATGGACCTTTTATTCATGATTCGTGAACCAAGGAAGCCTCTTCTACAAAATGGAATGAAAGCCCTCACTAGGCAGTAGCAGAACAGTGGGTTTTATAAGATGGGAAACAGACAATAGAAAAAATACTGACTAGTTAACATCAGGTTACTTTAGTAAGGGTGAAGGCGAAGGGACTTCCTTATTACAGATTCAGACAAGAATCTCTTGTTTTTCAGGAAAAACTGTTCTGGGATCTGTTTCTTTAAAGTTTAGTTTGATTATATGTCATTTAGCATGGATATCTCCATTTTGGATTGGTCTGGCATATTGGGTCTTCATGCCAGAGCTCAGTCCAAATGGCCTTCATAATTTTAACAAGACTTTAGAACTAATGAAGTACATTTGATTTATTGCTAAAAAATTACTAATATTTTAACAGTTACAGCCTAAATGTTTTTTTCTGACTAGTAATGTTAACGTAACATTTAATTTTATTTCTATTTCTTTTAAAATTTCTCCTTTGAGTTTCAAAATTGCATAACTTAATATTATGCAATTTGATTTACAAATACAGGGTTTTTTCTGATTTTTTAAAAACTGAAATGACATAATTAAAAAGTTGGGAGTCTTCATCTAAAGGATAAATAAAGAGTGATCTAAAATTTGATAAAGAAACTTACAAGGAGAGATGGCCTCTCAAGACGTTTGAAGTGAAGATTGTTTAGGCTCTGGAGTATTCATTTTGGAATTTTTGTGGGGGGGGGATTTTAAATTTGAGAGAGAATTCCAATTCATAATGGGACATGCCACATAGACTAAGTTTACTGGGCAGTGCATTTCTCCATGCATGTAAATCTACCTTGGAAGCCAAATGATTAGCTTAGAAGAATTGAATAGTAACACTAAACTATAACAGTTTATGAAATATACCTGTTTAGATTGACTTTAGTAGCAGAACTTTGAAATGAGAGACGATTTACTTGTAAATAACATGATTAAACAATAGATGATTAACCTTGGCATTACAAAATTGGATGATAGTTAAATATTTGTCAGTGTTGTAGAATTTTGATATGTGAGATAAGAAAGCAACAAATCGTGAGTCAATTTCGAGATTATTCTTTCTTTGTTGTTGTTGGTTGTGGGGCTTGGGTCTGGGCCCTGTTCCTCAGCTTTATTACTCAAGGCCGGCGCTCTACCACTTTTAGCCACAGCGTCACTTCTGGTTTTCTGGGGGTTAATTGAAGATGAGAGCCTCATAGTCTTTCCTGCCTGGGCTGGCTTTGAACCATGATCCTTAAATCTCAGCCGTCTGTGTAGGATTACAAGCATAAACCATCAGGGCCTGGTTAGAAGGGAATATTTTTGAGGATTAAATGACGTTTTAGGTCAGTGATACTTGATTATATGTTAGTGCTATTGTACTCCTCTGTAGAACACTGTGTGTGTGTGTGTGTGTGTGTGTGTGTGTGTGTGTGTGTGTGTGTGTGTGTGTGTGTACACACGTGCGTGCGTGCGTATGTGCTGAATGCCAGGGCTTTGTGATCTTTTTTTTTTTTTTGAGGGAAAGCTGGGCGCTGTCCCTCAGCTCTTCAGCTCAAGGCTAGCGCTCTACCACTTGAGCTACAGCGCCACTTCCGGCTTACTTCTTTTTGCTTATGTGCTGCTGAGGACTCGAACCCAGGGCCTCAGGCATGCAAGGCAAGCACTCTACCACTGAGCCACCTTCCCATCCCCTTGTGATCTTGCTTGACTCCCCCCCCACCCCCCGTCCTGGGGTTTGAACTCAGGGTCTGGGCACTGTCCCTGAGCTTGTTTTTCTCAAGAGTACCACTGCACTTGAGCCATGGTGCCACTTCTGGCTTTTTCTGTGTATGTGGTATTGAGGAATAGAACCCAGGGCTTCATGCATGCAAGGCAAACACTCTACCACTGAGCCACATTCTTAGCCCTAGTCTAGCCTTTTTGCTAGTCAGTTGAAGATGGAGTCTTTGGGACTTTTCTATCTGGTTGACTTTGAACTGCGATCCTCCAGATCTCAATCTCCTGAGAGGAGATTTGAGGATTGTAGGATTATAGGTGAGCCACTGTGTCTTGTTAAAAACACCTTTGGGGCTGGGGGTGGTGATTAATGGTACAGCCCTCTTATTTTAAATGTGGAATAAAGTTTAGAGAGGCTTGATTAAACTTGACAATATCCAACATCTGGTAAATGGCAAGTCTCAGAATTTGAACCCAGGCGTATGCTTTTGTTTAAACAATTCTTTATTATTATTATTTTTTTTGTCGGTTGTGGGGCTTGAACTCTGGACCTGGGGTTTTGTTTAAACAATTCTTCATTGAGCCGGGCGCTGGTGGCTCACGCCTGTAATCCTAGCTACCCAGGAGGCTGAGATCTGAGGATCGCGGTTCAAAGCCAGCCCGGGCAGGAAAGACCATGAGACTCCTATCTCCAATAAACCACCAGAAAACCGGAAGTGGCGCTGTAGTTCAAGTGGTAGAGCGCTCGCCTTGAGCTGAAGAGCTGAGGGACAGCGCCCAGGCCCAGAGTTCAAGCCCCACGACCGACAAAAAAAAAAAACAAAAAAAAAAACAAACAATTCTTCATTGAGTCATTGCACTGGTGTCAAGCATAGCATTTAGGCCTTCAAGAGTTTAGAGTTGAATGAAACACATTTCCTGCCCTCATTATAGTATGGAGAATGTATAAGGTAATTTTAGGGAGCTTTGGAGACTTACAGAAAGATAGCATATCTCAGTCCAAGAGTTTAGAACCATTCTAGAGGACATAATGATTGAACTGAATCTTAAAGCAGGAGTTGGAGTTAACTGCTAAAGGCCAAGCAGGGGAAATATGTGGAAACCAGGGGAGGCCTGGGTAAAGGCACTCAGAAAATATCATGTCTTTGCTTAGGAACCCATTTGTTGGTCTTGAAAGGTGATGTAAATGGGGACCAGGATATTTCTGCCTCATTGCTTCACTGTTCAAATGTCAGGTGCTGATTAAAATATTTATGGATAAAATGTCAGACTTCAATGCATTTTTTGCTTTTCTTTTTTAGGATCAGTTCGACAGCTTAGACAAACACACACAATGGGGCATTGACTTCTTGGAAAGATATGCCAAGTTTGTTAAAGAGAGGATAGAAATTGAACAGAATTATGCAAAACAATTGAGGTAAGTTAACTTACTTTTCAGTTCAATGACATCACATATATAAAGAGTTTAAAAATAGATAAATAGTATTCTAGGAGTTAAAATTTGTGCTTTTCATCAGAATTGTTATTGAATTAGGTAATTATTTTGGTTGATTTTGATCAAATCATCACCTTGTACTGTAAGGTAAATTGGTTACAAGGATCAGGAATAGCTTTCATTATAGAAAGACATTTAGAATCTGGGAGCAAAATGCCACGAGAAATATACCTTGTTATTCTTTCATACTTTTTTCCCTTTAAGTTTTTACTGTGATAATCTTTCCAAAACACTAAATTCTATTTGTTTCAGAATTTTTCATTTCTTCAGTTTCTAAGACTTGGAAATTAAAGTTGTACTGAGTGGAGTTTTTATCTCTCTAAATCAGGAATACATTACTGATGTAGGTAATTTTGGTTTCTGTGTTAGAAAATTTAATCATAAAATGGTTGGAAGGCTGGGTGCTAGTGACTAATGGCTGTAATTGTTAACTACACAGGAGGCTGAGATCTGAGGATTTTGGATTGGAGCATGTCAAGGCAGGAAAGTCTGTAAGACTCTTCATTTAACCAGCAAAACCCAGTCCTGTGGCCTCAGTGGTAGAGAGCTAGTGTTCTGCAAAAAAGTTCAAGGACAGCACCCAGATCCTGAGTTCAAGCTCCACTACTGCCACAAACAAAACAGAACAAAAATTCTGATGGAATTCAGATTTTCATCACTTGGCAGAATCGTAATTGCTAAGATCACTATTTGACAAGTAGATTTTTTGGAACTTAATTCAGTAAAAATGATTTTTGAAGTCTGAAGGCTGGATTCAACAGACTGTAAAGTTGCAAGTGACAAAAATTTCAACCTAAACAGGTGCTCAGGACCAAAAGGTCTAGGTATATTTTGATTTGAGGGAGAAATTAGCTCCATCTCCTGTTTTCTTTATTTTTAGGTTCCATTCATAATGGACCCCCCCCATCCTGGAGAAGAATAATATTTTTCTCTGTTATACTTTTGGAGGGGAGGAGAAGGGAAGGGAGTAGAGAAGGGAGGGAGTGGGAGGAAGAGAGGGTACAAGCTGTGCCACCTTTTGTCCAGAAGTCCTAGCAAACATTTTTTGTCATATGGACTCTAGATGGAAATACTGTATTGACTTAAAGCTGATAGAAGAAGGATGTTGAGCTTAAAATAAATATAAAGTAGTGATCCTAGATGGAAGGGGAGCTATATATGAGGGATCAGTGACATGCATCCAATATAGTAGTCCCTTTAACCAGTTTGCTAAATGGAATAAACCTAGTATAATTACTTAAAATACTTTTATGATGATATAATATTATTTTTGTGATATTTATTGAAATGTTGACATGCTAATTTTCTGATCCATTTGGCTGGCTTTTCTTGTTTGTTTCCCTTCCCTTTTTCTCCTTTGCCTTTCCTCCTTGCCGCTTTCCCTCTCCTCTCTTCTCATGTTCCCCTCCCCCTTGATAGAGTCTCTAATCAGAGAATTCATCTAGTAAAATGGCAAACTTGTTTGCCTCTGTCTCTTGTGCTTGATAAATTACCAAACTATGAATGTTTTCATTTACTTGAAAAAAAAAAAAAAGATTTCAATACTATTTTACTGAAGGAAGAGTGACAAGAACTCACAATTTAATGAAAAATTTAATTTTCTAATGACAAAGTAGGTTTTATTATGTGTTCAGTGATTTGTATCTTTCAAGGAATGCTGCATACTTAAGGAATTTGGCACGTTTCCATCCTAACTGTGGCTCTCAGTAGTGGTGATGCCCAACAGTATGGGAATTATTGGATGATGTTGAAATATTTGAGTAATAGAGTGGGAAGGAGGAGGCATATTTAATTTGAAACTGTCTACTCCCTACTCTCCCTCTGTATTGAAACTTGCTGCTTTGGATGAATACCTAGTAAGCGATTGAATTAGCAGGTGCTGTTTATAGTATGTTTTGTTCAAAAGGAAGAGGTTTGCCCTGTTTACTTCCTCCTCATTAGTGGGAAATATTTTGTTGTTAACGCCGCCTAGTTTTGCTACTGCAGTGGCTAATTTCATATACAGGAGGAAGAGTGTGCTGCAGCGAGGCAGGTTTTCCTGCCATTATAGCAATTATATTCACATGGTAAATATTTTCTGTGCTTTATAGCTTGGCTGGCTCAAAATTGTGATTCTTCTGCTTCATCCTTCTGAGTCCTGAGGTTGTAGTTATGTACTACCATACCCATTTCCATTTTAGATACATTGCAAGTCTAAAATAATGGGGAAGTAGAGCTGTGTTCAAAGTGATAGAGTGCTAGCAGCCTTGAGCAAAAGAAGTCAGGGACAGTGCCCAGGCCTCTAGTTCAAGCCCCACAATTGCACGCACACACACACACACACACACACACACACACACACACACACACATACACACACACACACACACACACACACACACACACACATTGTGGGTTTTTTTTTTTTTTTTTTGGTACAGTGTATTGAGCTCAAAACCTCACCTAGGCAGGTACTCTCCCAATGAGCAACATTTCCGGGAGCTTGGCTAATATTTAAATTAGGTACTTCATAGTTTTAGATCTAATTGTGTATTTTTCATAAAGATAAGTTAGGAAGGATGAACCATTTAGAAGTCCTTCCTTTTGAGAAAATGGTTTTTCTTGTTAGTGAAGGTGAAAGAAAAACTTTCAAAAAGCCCTGTTTATTTTTTTCATTTCCTTCTCAGAGTACAGATTAGGAATACTTACAGCATTTTAAAGCCTTATTTAGAAAGTACTCTTTTTTGTTACAAAGATTTATCTTTTTTTCATAACCTGTTGTACATTCGAGTTACATATTATTTTAGATCCTCCATTACTATTCCCTAAGCTCTCTCAGCTGTTTTCTCCAGATGACTCATGAGAGAAGAGGAAGCAGCAACAGGAGAACTTTTCCTTAATATTAGGTAACTAACTAATGGATATTTTTGGATTGAGATTCATGTTCATAAAATTATCATAGGTACATTTTAATTTTTTCTTACAGTTTTCCAATTAACTATTGAACTATAGTGTTGAGTTTTTAGGGTTTTTTTGTTGTTAGCTTGTTTGGTTTGGTTAAGACAAGGTTTTACTATGTAGCCTAGTGTGGAACTTTCTATGTAGCCAAGGTTGGTTCTGAATTTACAATTCAAATTGCTGGGATTATACGCATGACCACCTCCTCCAGGCTTTTAAAAAATATAAAAAATTGTTATTATAAAGGTGATGTACAAAGAGGTTACCGTTTCATAAGTCAGGTAATGAGTACATGTCTTTTAATCATTGGCTTCTGTTCCTTATGCACTTTTTTGTGTGCCATGGAACATAACTTAATCTCTTTCTATTACACGTACAAAGATGGCTTTCTCGGGGTAGGGAAGGTGGCTCAGTGATAGAGTTCTTGCCTCGCATGCATGAGACCTTGGGTTAGATTCCTTGGCATCACATAAACAGAAAAAGCTGGAAGTGGCGCTGTGGCTTAAAGTGGTAGGGTGCTCGCCTTGAGCTGAAGAGCTCAGGGACAGACAGCACCTAGGCCCAGAGTTCAAACCCTATGACCGACAAAAAAATAAAGATGGCTTTCTCCTCCCCTAACTTAATTGTCCATATTACTAACCTAAAGGAGCAATGAGAGAGTTGTCACTTTCAGTTTTTGTATGCTGCTGTTGCTAATCTCAAGAGTATGGTGATTCATGTTGTCATTGTGTTTCGAGCACCTGCAGAGCACCTGTGCTCTTGTGGGCACACAGCAGGACGTTTTGTGGGCTGATCAGTCAGTGAATTCTACTTTACTAGCAAAGAAAGTCAGCCTCATTTGCCTTAACATGAGTTACAAAGCATACTCCTGATATTTGTATTTATTTACTTTTTGTGGTACTAGGACTTGAACTTAGGGCCTCAAGCTTGCTAGGCAAAAACTTTACCATGAGCCACCCTCATAATAGAAATATTCTTGATTGGTATATGAAAGTATTATCTTCAGTGATCTAGCAGAATCTAACATGTAAAACATAAAGCTCTTAAAAAATAAATTCAAACATGCTGTGTCTTTATAGTGAACTTTTCAGTGAAGAAAATCTCAAGACCTCATTGTTTAAACGACTGAAAAAATAGTTGGGTTGTTAATGGTGCCAGGGCTTCATGCAGGCACTCTACCACTGAGCTACATCCTCAGCCCCTCTTGGTCAATCTTTTAGATTCACCAAGATTTTTTTATTTTTATTTTTATTTTATTTTTTTGTTGGTCATGGGGCTTGAACTCTGGGCCTGGGTACTGTCCCTCAGCTCTTCAGCTCAAGGCTAGTACTGTACCACTTAAACCACAGCACCACTTCCCGCTTTTTCTGCTTATGGGGTGCTGAGGAACCGAATCCAGGGCCTTATGCATGTGAGCAAGCACTCTACCACTGAGCCACCTTCGCAGCTCTACCAAGAATATTTCTGTTTTCAGATTGCTTTTGTTTTTGTACCCATTTGAACTGTCTAGTAATGATGAAAGTTGGACAAACATTTCTCTCATCAGCCTATGCATAGAAGTATGCAAATTAGTTAGATTTAGGTACTCCTTCTTGTGTTTTGTGTAGGCATTTTTGGACTCTGGAACCAAAGTACTGTAGTCCTATTATGAATATAACATTTTGAAAGAAAATAGGTTATCCATTGTAATGAAAAAAATTGCTCTGAAAAATACTTAAATATGAGATGGCAGTCTTTTTCTCTCAGTCTAAATTAAGCAGGTAAAATACTACTTAACATACCTGAAATTATTCTTGGCAGTTTCCTAAAAGCTACACCTGTGTGCTTCCAGTATTGAATGTGGAACTGATAGTATAATGCAAAGCCCACATTCACATGTAGTTTATGTACAGTGTATTGTTCTGTGCATGTCAATTGTACTGTCAAAAATGAGTTTGGAGTTGTGCATGGTTTGCACACCCATAATTACAGCCATGCCGAAAGTT